AATGATCCATTAAACAATAGTTTTTATTCAATATTGACGAATATATCTAACGATGATGCTAGCAGTGTTCATCATGAAGTATTTTTTCCTTATGGAGATTAAAAATATTGATCTCGTCAACTATATGCACCAGCATCTTTATTTTTACAAGACGTAGAAATCTGGCCACAATTTCACTTAAGCGCTACAATTTAGTGACCATGATCCTTATGGAGCAACAGTTGTCCCTACTTTCACATTATGTAAATTCATTGTTATGTGACAGTTTCATGAAGGAAAAAGTGAAAGATTGTGCAATGTAGAATTAAGAGAATTTTGCAATGTAGAATTAAAGACATGCTGCAGTGTAGAATTAAAAACATGTTGCAGTGTAGAATTAAAAGCATGTCGAAATGTAGAATTGAAAAATATTTACTAAAGAATGTAACAGTATTTCAATAAAAATGTACTCAATTCTAACAAAATTTTAAAAAACACCAGCTGATTCTGAGAATAAAATTCTTCTAAGTTATCCTCAAAATGATACACATTTATTTATAGCATCAATTGCAAATGATACCCTTCGAGATATTTATCATCGTCGGCGTAAACGAATTTATTACACAACCCAATAGTTTCCAACTGCTTTTTACTGTAGCATGCACTATCGTAATCGCCTCATTATCTGACTTTTTCTTCGAGACATAAGCCATCAAGTTTTTTCCAAAAATTTGTATGTATATTCGCAGATTAAATATATCTACATATTCGCAATCAGGTTTTTGTCTTTCCTGTTATTAAAACCCGGAAATCAATATTTAAGGTTATTATTGTTATTAATAATTAATAATAATATATTATATAATAATATAATATATAATAATAATATATATAATATAATATATAATATAATAATTAATATATTATTATTTATTTAACGTTATTTTAAAGTGTTCCTGATCTTTTTCTACAGGTAATGAACAGAAGATTTCGTAAATATTAAATAAGATAAGAATGGTGGATAAATATCTGTGAATTAATTTATTTTCCAATAAAACGTTTTCCTTGGACAACATGGAACCATATAAAATAGTAGTAACTTCGATTGCAATCGAGTTTTATTCTCATGCATCATTCGAATTGGATTTGAACCAAAAGTAAAACTTTTTATTTATTTTATATTATAGAAATATAATTATTATATTTTAACCTGGAACAATTCTATGGGATATGGAATGAACGTACCAACAATATCAAAAGATAACAATGTTTTAATGTAATTAAAAATACCATCTTAATATCGTACTGATGACAATAGGACATCAGATTATTGTCTGCTATCGCGCATTCCTTTCAAGATAAAAATTAATCCCCCTTTTGCTTCAATGAACGTTGTTTGATCTAATAAAGCTTTTGTTCACGTCTCTGG